AGCCCCACTGCCATGCCACAAAATAAAGTGCTTCAAGGAGTTTGAAAAAAAAAAATGGCAGCTTTAAATACAAGGGGGCTGGGAACATCACTTGTCATGAATTATAATTGGTGTTGGACAAATTAATCGGGTTTATTTTTCCTATATTGCTCAGAGGTTGGGTCCTGATCCAGAAGGATAGGTTGGTCTCAGTCTCTCCTCTTTAGAGATTAACAGTGTTTCAATGGTCCACTCTGTGTTCTAAGATCTGATTTAAAATGGTGGCCAGCAGCCATTTTAAATGCCTCAAACACTATTAACTCTATTTCCCTCTCCCAGCAGACATAATAAAAAAAATTTCAGAAACACAAATGATGACAGTTGTTAGAAATATATTCCCAGGAGGGCGATGGTGGCACATTCCTTTAGTCCCAGCACTCGGGAGGCAGAGGCAGGTGGATCTCTGTGAGTTTGTGGCCAGCCTGGGCTACAGAACAAGTTCCAGGACAACCAGAGCTACACAGAGAAACCCTGTCTCGGGGGAGCGGGGCGGGGAACATGTTCCCAGTCACGGAGAACGAGGCCACTATTGGGGTAAATGGAAAGCAGCTGCCCATCCTTCCCTCCAGTCTTCCAGTCCAACCCTTTGTTATCCGGGTCAGTGTGCCTCTTACCCAGCTAGACTTCATTCGGCCTGCTCAGGCCCCAAAGGAACTGAATAAAAAAAGAAAGGAAAAGGAAAGAAAAGGGCACGACTGCTCCTGCATACGGTGGAGGAGAAAGTTTATCACAGATGTGGGAGAGAGCATAGTCAGAGGCAAGGACAGCTGGGAGAGTCCAGAGTGAACAAGACCAGACTGAGCTGGCCCATGCGGAGAGAGCCAGGGGTGGGGCAGAGAAAGAAGAACCAGATGCAGTAGCCAGGAGGCCAAAGGTACAAGAGGGCAGGTAACCAAAATGTTTGGATTCTGTAGGGAGAAGCCTCTGGGGGAAGGGCAGCCCAGCCCCTGGGCTGGAGAGTTCAGGGTCTTGGGCTGAATACTCCAGCCACACCTTGCAACAGGTAGGGACTGAGGGATGCTGGGAGAACCTGGCAGCCAGGTGCCGCTTTGATATGTTAAATAAGCACATCAGCCTTTGTTTGAAACAGGATCAAGAGGGACGAAGGCCCAGCAGAGACCACCCAACCCTGATCAGACTCCTATTCCATCAACACCTCGCCACCCAATGCTGCCTTTCTGGGAAGTCTGGCTCCATGAACCCCAAGTGGTCCTTCCCCACCCATAAGCACAGATGTGGGTTGTATGATCACACCACACAGACCCAACTGGCTGGAGTCTTTGGCCTCACTGGGGTCCACCCACCTCTCCACAACACTGGAGACCTTCCAGAGACTCAGTATTCTGCTTCGACACCTGGTTACCAAGATGGGGGTGACATGACAGACAGAGAATCAGACCTCAGAGGTTTTTTAATCTATAGGGAAGGAATCCTAAGGGCCTCAGCTTAGTCATTTCTGCCTCATTCTGAACTGACCTCCCAAATAAGATGAAGGCAGAAAGTTGCAATTTTCATTTATTTACTTGTTTATTTATTGTCTTTTCTCTCTCCCCATAGAAGGTCACCTGTAGCACGGTCTAGCCATAAATTCAATATGTGGCAGAGAATGACTTTAAAATCTTCAACTTTTTTTTTTTTTTTTAATTCCAAACAGGGTTTCTCTGTGTAACCCTGGCTGTCCTGGAACTCACCCTATAGACGAGGCTGACCTCGAATTCAGGGATTAAAAGCGTGTGCCGCCACCACCCAGCTTTTTGTTTGTGTGTGTTTGTTTGTTTGTTTGTTTGTTTGTTTGTTTGTTTGTTTGTTTTTTGAGACAGGGCTTCTGTCTGTGTAGTTTTGGTGCCTGTCCTGGAGCTCGCTCTGTAGACAAGGCTGGCCTGGAACTCAGAGATCCACCTGGCTCTGCCTACAAAGTGCTGGGATTAAAGGCGAGCACCACTACCGCCCAGCTGGGTTTTGTTTTCTGATACACAGTCGAACTCTTTATTGTTAGGCCCAGATTGTGACCCCAAAGAGACCACCGAAGACCACAGGTGTCCAGAATGCAACAGCAAGATTTATTCTGTAGATACAAGTCCAGACAGGGAACCCATTCCTACACCCAATACAGTGAGGCAGGGAGGAGTTGCTCTTTCTTTGTGTGGCTAGCGTTTTAAAGGCAAAAACCACAAGCCTTTCAGGGGGGTTGGGGGGGAGGTTGCCACGGGTGCAACTAGGATTGGCTTATTTTTATCTCTGTTCTCTTTTAATTGGGTGAGGGTATGTAACCTTTGAATTTACCGGTTGGTGGCAACTATTATCACTTTGGGGGCAGTCCAGCACAAGTCCCTGGCTTTGTCCTTGAGCTGCCATGGGGGCTGGCTGGCCTAGCATGTCATGCACATAACTCTAAGTTGGTGAGGGGCCCCAGACAGTAAACATCTGGCTGAACTTTGAGCAGTCAGAGTACATGCGGAATGGGAGCTACTGCAAGGACTATGTCTTTTGTTCATGGCCTTCCCAGAGACTGCTTGCTCAAGTCTCAGAAAAAACTGAAATTGAGGCCTGATCTCTGAGAAAAGACTGAGCAGCCTGTTATGGCATCTGCTTGGTCCTTTCACTTATCAGATATGTCTTTAACATAGGTGTGGCTCCCCAGTCTTAGGCACTACTGCTCACATACAAGAGGGGTTGGTTGAATTATGTTAGTCCACTATTGATGTGTTAAGTGTTCACTTATTTCTGTGGTGTCTCATCTTTTACATGAGAACTATTCAGTCACCCTGGCCATCCCCCACTTCCTCCCACCCACAGATTTTCACTGTATAACAACTCTGGCTGTCCTGGAACCCACACTGTAGATCAGGCTGGCCTCGAACTCTGCCTGCTTCTGCCTCCCAAGTGCTGGGATTAAAGGTGTGCACCACCACTGATGGACTCAAAACCAGTTTTAAAAAGTAAGGGCTGAGGCAGAGCGGTGGTGGTGCATGCTTTAAATCCCATGGACAGAGGCCGATGGATCTCTGAATCTGAGGCCAGCCTGGTGTCCAGAGTGAGTTCCAGGACAGTCGGGGATACACAGAAAAACCCCATCTCAGAAAAACAAAACAAAACAACAACAAAAAACTCAAGCCAAAGCAAAACACCCCTCAAAAAGAGATTGAAGCAGAGCATGATGGCACACCCCTTTAATGGGAGAGGTAGGGCAGAGTAGGTGAACCTCTTGAGTTCAAGGACAGTCTATAGTCTACAGAGATCCTGTCTCAGGGAGCAGGGAGGAAAGGCTGAGAGTGGCCTTTCCCAGTGGCTCAGTGGTAAAGCACCGAGTAAGTGCAAGGTCCTAGCTTCAACAGTTAAGTAAGGGACCATCACACTGGTCACCCAAGCCCTCCTGTCAAGGCACCTAGGGAAAACCCTAGAGGTTGCTGGGTAATCCAGGCACAAGGAGGGTAGCAGCCTGAGACACTAGACTGGTCCCTGGCCGTGGAGAAAGGTCATCCAGGGTCAAGAAGAAATGAACACTTGGGCACCTGGCTGGCAGGGTGCCATTTGCTGCAAAGGAGACCCCGGGTGGAGCCCCTGCCTCCTCCTGGCTGCAGGTTTTACAGGACTAAAACCAAGCCTCAGTTTACAGGCACTAGGCGCCCAGCAGGAGCAGTAGTTCTTCAAGGAGGAATTTAGAACCCAGCAAGGTCCCGGCCCCAGGGTGGGGCTGTGACAGGGCAGGGCAATGTGGACTACAATGTAAGTGGAGTAATTTAGAGAGGTGGAGGCTGCTTGTGGCTGCAGGGGGAGGGTCTCAGGCCTAGGATGGAGGTGGTATTTAAACCTCGGTTCTCAGAACACCTGAAGTGAGCTACAGAGAAGATGGAAAGGCCTCCCCTTTCCCTGCCTGAGTCTAGACCCCCAGGAGCCTGTTTAGATGGTACGGGGTGGGCAAGGATGCCTTTCTCAGACTTGGGCTTTGCAGATCCTGTCTGGCCCCCAGAGCAGACCCAGCCTTGTGGAAACTGAGGCCTTCACAATACAGTTGAGGGGTCTCTGTGTGATCATGAACTGATCGGAGCACATGGAACTTGGGCTCCTGCAAGGTTGGGAAAGAAAGTCGATGTGGCAGCAGTCTGGTTGGAGACTCCTGGGGTTCCTCCTCCATACTGCCTGCCTGCTGGGGACTGAGGCTCCTGCACTTACTAACCTGGAAGTGTTTGCAAACTCATCAGCTCGTTGAGTTTTGATTTTTCTTCTGTGGGCTTTTTGTTGGTTGGTTGGTTGGTTTGTTGGTTGGTTGGTTGGTTTTTCGAGACAGAGTTTTTCTTTGTAGCCTTGGCTGTCCTGGAACTGGCTCTGTAAACCAGGCTCTCCTCGAACTTAGAGATCCACCTGCCTCTGACCCCCGTCCCCCCCATACACCCTTCCTGCCCACCCTGAGTGCTGGGATAAGCCACTACCGCCAGGCAATTTTAAATTCTTTAGAGACAGGGTGTCATGGAGGTCAGTCAGACATGTGGGAAATGATCTCGAACTCTTGTTTCCAACAGGGTTTCCCTGTAGATTAGGCTAACCTCAATTCAGACATCCGCCTGTCTCTGCCTCCCAAATTCTGGGATTACAGGCTTGTGCCACTACACCCAAACAAACTTTTTTTGAGTCTATAATCCCAGTTCTTGGTAGGGAACAGCAGGATCAAAAGCCCCACTCTCCTGCCTCAGCTCAGCAAATGCTGGGATTAAGGGTGTGACTCTCCATACTCCCTTTTTGAAAGGTGAACTGAGTGAATCTGGAAAAGTGGGAAATTGTGGTGGGATCGCAGGTCCCCCTCCCATTGATGCAGTGGCTCCCCCAAAATGGAAAGCAGAGCTTGGGGGTGTGAGAAAGGCTTTTCTCTTTTACAGTTATTTATTTTGTGTGTGACTGTGCCAGGGGATGTGTGGAGGTCTGAGGACCACTTTCCTGAGTGGGTCACCTCCTTCCACCCTGAGGTCCCTCGGGATCAAAACCGCCAAGTCATCAATCGGGCTTGGCAGCACGGGCTGAGCCATCACTCCCCACCGGCCATGATAGGGTTTCTCTGATCCCTTTCTCCCTCTTTCTCCCAGCCCCCTCTACCCCGGACCCCCTTGACCGAGACTTCAGTTGGGAACAGCTATGGGAACTGGAAAGACAGTTCAAGTTGGAGCCATACCCAGACCTCGAGGCTCGAAGGGTCCTGGCCACCAGACTCAACCTGAAGGAGGAACAAGTTAAGGTCAGATTCCCCTCCCACCTTGAGCTCCTATCAACCAGTGGTTCTCAACATGTGGGTCGAAACCCTTGTGCAGGGAGGGGGTCCTCTCGAAAGACCCTTTCATAAAGGTTGCACAACAAGTATTTACATTTCGATTCTTTGTTTGTTTTGTTTTTTGAGACAGGGTTTCTCTGTGTAGCTTTGTGCCTTTCCTGGATCTCGCTCTGTAGACCAGGCTGGCCTCGAAACTCACAGAGATCCGCCTGCCTCTGCCTCCCGAGTGCTGGGATAAAAGGCATGCGCCACCACCGCCAGGCTTCAATTCTTAACAGTAGCAAAATTGTAATTTTTGAACTAGCAACAACAGTTTTATGGTTATTGATCACCACAACCTATTAAAAGTGTCGAAGCATAAGGAAGGTTGAGAAGCCCCTAAGGTCTAGCCTAGGTACTTGAGCGGGCTGGATCCCTAGTTGGTAGGCTCTGCCCTTCAGAACCCTCAGTCTTCCTTAGGGGGCCTCCCTTTGGGTCCTGGATTAAGGCATCGTGTCCCCCCCACCCCCAGTATCTAAGCCTCAGGGACTAGGGAGCATTAGGTAACTCTCTGTGTTTCCATGTGCCCTCCACCCTGCAGACTTGGTTCATCCAGCGTTCCTTGGAGCAGGAGATGCGCCCTCGCATTGCCAGGCTACAGCAGTCTGTCCGTCCTAACACCTCTCGCTGTGAGTCCCACAAAGCCCACTGCTGCCGGCCACCGAGCTGGCGGTTCAGGCTCATTCCCATTAATTCCTCAGAGTCTTCAACCCGCTGTGAGCACAGTTGCTGATTCTGCCATCCCGAGTTTGTTGACCCCACGGGCCGCTCCAACATGTGGTCCAAACCCCCTTGTCGACTCCTGGCTTCACAGAACTCACCAAAATGCCGGAGGCTTTCTAGAGACTGGGTGAGGGGGTGGTGGTGTTCCATCCCTCAACCCTTGGGTGTCAAGACACATGGCGCTGGACGAGAAATATCATGGATGATGTCAAGCCAAGCAGAGTTTCTGAGTCTCTAACTGGGGACTCCATTAGACCTTGTAGGGCCACACCCCACAGGGTCCCATCTCAATGATTTCTGCCTCTCCTGGACTGGGGGTTATGGTTCTAATTCTTATAACACCCCCCCAAGGTTGCCTGTACCTCAGGCTAGCTATCAATATGTAACAGAATGACCTTGATCTTGCCTCTAATTCCCAGGTACAAGTTTATGCATGAGTATGAGTATTTTCTAGTTTTGTTTGATTACAGGGTTTCTCTGTGTAGCTTTTGGCGTTATTTGATTTTTTTTTTTCCTTGCCTACTAGTGCTTCTCAAGTTGCTTCTTAGCGATTTGGCCTGTTTGGGGGTTTTAGATCGGGGAGTGGCAGATCAATGAAATTAATTGGTGAATAAAATTACTTTTTTGAAAACGTTGTGTGTGTCTGTGGATGTCAGCTGGTTGTGTAGCAGCCAGGGCAACTTAGGAACCCATTCTTCCATATGGGTCTGGGAGTGGAACTGGGGTCTTTGGGCTTGGTTGACACACAAAATACATTTCCCCCACAGCCATCTCAGCACCTATGCTGGTTCAGGTTTTTGTTTGTTTGTTTGTTTGTTTTGTTTTGTTTTGTTTTGTTTTGTTTTTCAAGACAGGGTTTCTCTGTGTAGCTTTTAGAGCCTATCCTGGAACTCTCTCTGTAGACCAGGCTGGCCTCGAACTCACAGAGATCAGGGCCCCTGCCTTTGCCTCCCAAGTGCTGGGATTAAAGTACATCTCCACCACTTGGCCCTGATCTTTAAGAGATAGTTCAGAGGCTGAGGAAATGACTCAGCCATTAAGAGCACAAGCTACTCTTCCAGAGGACCTGGGTTTGATTCCCAGCACCCACGTGGTGGTTTGGAATTGGAACTTCAGCTCCAGAGACTGTGAAGCCCTCTTCTGGCTTCCAGGGCAATGTATACATGTGCACAGACAAACCATCCATACACATAAAGTCAAAACAGTTACTCTGAGCTCAACATAGTGATCATGGAACAGGTTTTGAGTTCTCCCATGTGAGGCCAAGAATGGGAGGCCTGAGAGCTTGTTTAGTCACAGGACAGAGATTGAAATCTAGAAGGTATTTACCAAATAAATTGGGGTGACCATAACTAAGTGATTACTGCAGTGTGGGGATTCTCTGCATGGAACATCCCTGGCCTTGAACTCCCAGAGAGCTGCCTGCCTCTGGCCCCTGGATGATAGAAATGAAGGTGAACTCCACCGTGCCCAGCCTGCAGATGACATTCTTTGGGTTTGGTGGAAGTGAGTGTTCTGTTAATACATAGGAAACGGTAAAGGATTTGCCCGATTGTAGACTAGGATGTCAGGTGAGCAGTGAAAGGCCTACTACCACAGCCTAAGAGAGTTTCCACAATCTCAGAACCTTGCTCGTTTGTTTGTTGAGACAAGGTCTCTGCATAACTTTGGCGCTTGTAGAATTCTCCAACTCAGAAAGATCCACCTGCCTGCCCTCCCAATGCTGGGATTAAAGGCGTGGTCACCACACCCAGCTCCTTGTAGAATCTTTAACATAGACATAGATGACATGGATTTTCTTTTCCTGGGAACTTTAGTTTGTGGAGAGATGGATTGATTTCTATGAACTCGGCCCCTCGATATTTCAATAAATAATTGGTGCTTGTTTGTGGGCATGCAAGAGTCCAGTCTAAATTTTGCGCTCTGAAACTATCATCCTGGCCTGTTTGTCTCAAAGAGTAAACAATGCTGGGTGTGGTGGTACACGCCTTTAATTCCAGCACTCAGAGGCAGGTGGATCTGAGTTGAACAGGTCAGCCTGGCCTACACAGCAAGTTCTAGGTCAGCCAGAGTTACTGGTGAGACCCTGTCTCCAGCCTTTGAATGCGGCCTAGCACATTCAAAGTCCTGGGTTCCACCTTTAGTAGTACACACAAACACATAATTTCAAGCCTAGAATACATAGTGAGTTCCAGGACAGTCGGAGCTATGTAGACAGACCCTGTCTCAAAATAAATAAGGGCACACTTTTATTCTCAAAACTAGATCTCTGGGAGTTGGAAGCCAGCCTGGTCTACATATTCCAGGGCAGCCAGAGCTATACAACACAAAGTGAGACCCTATCTCAAAAACCAAACAAGGAGCCGGGCGGCGGCGGGCGGCGGCGGCGGCGGCGGCGGCGCACGCCTTTAATCCCAGAACTCGGGAGGCAGAGCCAGGCGGATCTCTGTGAGTTCGAGGCCAGCCTGGGCTACCAAGTGAGTTCCAGGAAAGGCGCAAAGCTACACAGAGAAACCCTGTCTCGAAGAAAAAAAAAAAAAAAAAAACAAGGAAAATTAAGTAAATAAAGGAAAAGGAGGTGGGTTTACCCAACACCAGGAGACAACAACATCTGTCCCCAGGATTCCCATCAGCCTTTAGCTCAGGGACAAGCCTTGGAAAAGAGCCTGCCACCCAGGGCAGCTTTCTGACCTCTCTAGTCCAGACACCCAAAGGGAACCCTGTGACTATAACAGCCCCAGTAACGTTGAGGACCAGGGAGAGGGTGCCGTCAGGGACATGGGACTCCGGGTTGGTCCCTGGTCTTGGAGAAGAAGCACTCAGCTTCAGGAAGGAGTGATGATGAACACCTGAAGGAACAGACTGGTTGGAGGCCCATTTCCTGTTATGATCCTGGGTGAAACCAGGCCTTCTCCTGGGCTTTCGAGGCTTGAGAGGGTGGGGCCAAGGCCGAGTGTTTTCCCCTGTTCCCTTGACTAAGCCGCAGAAGTAGCTGTCCCATGAGGACCACAGAACCCTGCCAGGCAATGCCCTGGAGGGTGCAGAGGGGTGGAGCAGACGATCGGAAGAGTGGGAGGAGCTACAGGTGGGAGGTGCCCAACTGGGTGGGCCCAGAGCCCAGGTAGGATTTAAGCCAAACTCCTGGAGTCAAGGCTCAAACTGATCAGCTGGAGCTGGAGTGACCGGGGTCAAGATGGCGGAGTCTCCGAAGTTGTGCACGTCTGGGCCCTCAGAAGGAGGTTTGGATGCTGAGGGGTTGGCAGGTATGTGATTCTGGGACTCAAGCTTTGCAGATCTGGTCTGGGCCCCCCAGAAGAGGCCCGGCCTCATTGCAAGTAGGACCCGCTGCATAGCTTTGGAAAGAGGGTGAAAGGGCGTGTGGGGCGCTGAAACAAGCACATGGCACTTGGGCCTCTGCAAGGCTCCGGGTCCCAGCTGGTCAGCTAACGGGAAGGAGGGGAGCTTTGGGGAGCAAGCAAGCCAGGGGCAGCAACTTGGTACCTGGCCCGCCCATTTCAGGGTGTTGGCTGCAGAAACCTGGATAGGCAGACGGTGCCTGGGGTTTGAAATGGAGAGTCAGGGTGCGACAGTACTCGGGCGCGGGTGGGTTCTCCTGGGAAGTTGTGGGAGCTTCAGGGGAGCAGAAAGTAAGGATTAGAAGGGAAAGACAGACAGACTCTGACCCTCCCCCACTCTCTGGGATCACGGTCTTGTGCCACCACCCCGCTTTATTTGTTTTTTCTTGAAATAACACTCATGTGGTATGAGACCTATCTTGGAGTCCTTCACCATGGGGTCCCCAGGATCAAGCTCAAGTTACTAATGTTACTAGCAAGCTCCTTTAGGGGCTAGCAACTGAGCAGGCTCACCTGTGAAAGGGCAGAAGGAAGCGTCTTTTTCTGATCTGTTCTCTCCTCTCAGCCGGCGGGAATCAACACTCCGAGCTTACCCCTGAGCCTTGTCAAGAGCTGGAAAGACACTTCAAGGAGGAGCCAGACCAAAGCAAGGAGCTATGCAAGGCCTTGGCTGTCAACCTCGAGCTAGAAGACGTTGAGGTCAGATTCCCCTCCCCACCTAATGGATGGCACTCCCCAGATGCCCAGAAGGGCTGGGGGCTGCAGGGGTCCCTGGGTGCCCACCATTCCTGATCTCCCATAGACGCATCATCAAAATAGGCCTTAAACCGAGTGTGGTGGCCCCCATCTCTCCGCACCACCCCGCCCACACCCCACCCGCCCTATTTCAAGACAGGATTTCTTTGTATAGCCTGGACTTTTCCCCCGAGGCAGTTCTGGAACCACCTAGCCAAGCCCACCACCACCACCACCGCCTGAGATCTCTGTAATTTTGAGACACAGCCAGTTCTAGGTCAGCCAAGGCTCATACAGTAAGACCCTATCTCAAAAAAAAAAAAAAGCATTATGTCCTTCCTTGGTGACTGAATGTCCATCATCTCAGCACTACAGGAGGAGGCTGTTACACCAGGAATTCAAAGGTCATCCTTGCTGACCTACATAATATAATTTGAAGTTAGTCTGGGCTACAATTCTCAAAAGAAGAAAAAAAAAAAGTCAGGCAGTGGTGGGTGGTTCACGCCTGTAATCCCAACACTCCGGGGCAGGTAGAGATATTCGGATCTCTGAGTGCAAGTCCAGCCTGGTCTACAGATCCCAAGTTCCAGAACAGCCAGGGCTACACAGGGGGTGATCAAACAAAAACAGAGGCTTGGGAGGTGGAGATAGAACCAGAAATTCAAGATTATCCTGGGCCACACCGCGCAGTGGGGGCTCCCAGTCAGCTCAGGCATATCCTCTGAACGCTCCAGACCTCTGGAATCGGCCCTGGAAAAAAATAAATACAACAAAACCTCAAGCAGGCCTCCGGGTAGAGGCAGAACAGAAAGAGACCGCGGGCTACTTTCACATAACTCTGCCTTACTCTCGCTGTCACTCCAGGAAGAACACATGGTGGAGGACCCCGAGGAGGAGTCGACCCAGGAATTCAGAGAGG